AACCAAACCACTGATGCTGCCACAGCTGGGTTTGTTACGTGCTTATTTTGATAAGCAATAAACTCGCTCCATATAATGCAAAGGGCACCGACAGCCCTGAGTAATGGATCCCTGAGGAACAGAATCCAGTTGCTCACAGCAGTGGAAACTGAGATATGTTCCAGCTTCATTATTTTCCGATCAGTGATAGCTGCAGCACCAGCACCCTCCCATCCAGCCTCTCCATAGGCCTGTGCACTGAGTTCCTGACCCTCTTAAACCACCCCTGACACATAATCATAACCTCAGAATAGGGATAGTGAGATAAACACAGTAATAAATGGCAAGAATGACTTTATCATCAAAAAAATCTAGGATAATCATGCTCTTGAGACAGCTCTGCACAGTGTATTTTCATATTTCCATTAAACATGACACAAACATCAGGGGAGGTTATGAAACTGAAGAAAAATATCTGGAAAATAAATGGGATACAGCTGAACAGGTGATTTCCTGACTTTTTTTTTTTTTCTTAAGGAAGTACAAAACTGATCCTCGACATCAAGAAATTAAGAACAGCTCTAGGATTTGGAAAACGTCTTTGGAACATACAAAAGAGATCCTTTACTGCAAGGCCTTTTTAAGTAAAGACCTCTTGCAGTTTAGTGACAAGGTCAGAGCCATCGGTCACGAGCACAGCAGGTGACATCTCCTGTAGAAGCTGCCACTGTAAAATAAGTCACATTTAAGTCAGAATGTCTGTTCAGTAGAATGCCCAGAAATTAATTCATGTTTTCATTAAATACAGATGACATTCTCCCCCCAGAAACTATTAATTTTGTCCTCTATCAGAGAAGGAAATCATTTAAAGTGAGAAAGTTGTGTAATCCACACAGTGGAAAAAATGAACCATCTTTTTTGTGCAAGAGGAAGACCTTTTGAATAGTAAGTTCTCTACAAAACCTTGACTGAATTTCTCCCTAACTACATAACAGTAAAAGAATAAAATAAAAAGCCAGTCTGACAGACATTAATATTTAGAGGGTGCTCTCAGAACAGAGTGACATTAGCCAGTGTTTGTATGCTGATCTTGCAAAAATCTGAGAGCGAACACATTGGGGTTCTTCCTGCTCAGGAAATTAGTTAATCATATTTGACATTTGCTAGAGCCACAGAGTCCAGAGAGGAGAATTGTACCTGACATATTTTAAAAAGCAATAAAAAAAAAATCAGAACATCACAAATAAATTTCAAGGCTGATTTCAAACAGAAAAGGCACTGCAGTGGCACGGGCAGAGAGTAACACCCAAGGAAAGATAAACTAGCAGTGAGACAGCAAGGGCATCATAGGTAATAAACAAAAAGCACTCAGTTTGGAGGGCACAATGAATTGATTGTTTTTGTAACAGCCATAGATTAGATTACATCCCATTTCCAAAGTGTTTCAATTCTTTCTTCTGTCAGTGACTACTTCAGAGCTGAATAAAAGTCATTATATTACTTAGGGGGCTGCACCTTCATCCTCTCCAGCAAGGAAAAAGCAGATTTTATTCCATGAGCAACTCATATTTCTAATGGCATGCGTGCCACAAGGCTGTGATTTCTTTATCAAAAGAATAAAATGCTTATTTTCTGTCTTGAAATATGTAAGAAACCAGGAATGTAAATGCAAGAGATCACACTAGGACACAGAGTAAACAACAGTACCCAAAATACAAAGAAGTCCTTATTATTGCTGGATTAATTAGCATTAATAAACTAGGGCATAAATATTTTTGACAGGACAGGAAAGCGGGTCATTAGCATTGATGATATAAATGATCTTCCTAAAACATTCAGAGCAGTCCCGCTCCAAGTGATCCTCCCAGTTTGCCATTATACCACCAGTCAAGCATCTGACATCCAGTGGAGAACGCTCAGCACTCACAGCAGAGACTGAGACTCCTTTTGGCTCCTCAAATCTAATGCAATTTGAAGAACAATGAATTGCTAATAATTAAACAAACACTGAAATTAAAACCTTTTACCACCATAAAGATTCCAAATTAGGCACAGAAAACCAGAAGTTTGTGAAGCCTTTTGAAATGGATTTTCTGTTGGAGGCACAACATACACAATGATTTGCATCAGTGATTATCCTAATTAAACTGCTGTTTACATAAGTAACGTTGATTTACTTTCCATGTTGTTTGGTGTCATTAGACCAGTCATTTAACGGTGCAAATTTCCTGTAGGTGAAGCCTTCTCCCACCTTCAGCAGGCTGTGAACAGCACCTCTGCTGCAAGGAGTGAACCAGAGCAAGTTTAATACTACACAAGCTTTAGACAAGTTTCAATCACACAAATAACTGTGTTTGTTCCAGCATGTCACTGGCCTGGATGATTGCCATGATCTGCTCCAGCCTGAAAATCCACGAGAACAGCACTGCTACACAAACAAAGGCAAAGAGTTAGTACCTTATTATTTGATTAAATGTTTTACTTCCTTAATGATGAGTGAAACTTGAGTTCCACATTAAGGATGCCCAAGGAAAACAGGACTAGTCTAGGAACCCATGTTAGGGCAGAAAGAAGGTCTACATTTGGACTCCTGCAAAATTCCAAATGAAAAAGAATATTGTGAAGAAGAGCAAAAATGTAAAACAAACCATAGAATATGTAGTTGATCAGCTGCCTAAGTTTCAGAAAGGCTTTCAAAGAGCCAGGCACCACTCACCCTCTGGGTCACAGCATGGCTTGAGAACAGCGTCACTTTTTAATCTGTTTTAATTCCTTATGCTCTTTGCCTTACAGAACCACAGAAAACCTTCCCTAAACTCTACAACAGAAGATATTTCCTCTATTAAATAAAAAACCCCTTCTCAGCATGAATTAAAAGTTCTGTTTAGAACTGCTGTAGGCACAAAATATGGCCCACACACCTCAGTACTTCAGTGGCCAGGACAAATTCTTAAAACTAAGAAAAGATCAGTTCTACTGTGGAACAGCCACCATGTATATTTAAGTACATTGACTGGAACTGCAGATTTTCAATCACTAATTATTGGCAGTGCCAAGATAATTATTAGTGATCAGTGCACGTAAAAAATGGAGTTGTGTCAGAAAAATTAATAGGTATGTATGGAATGATAAACTGATTTTAGTCAACTTAACGTTCAATATTATACATCACATGGAAAGAAGGAGGAAAAAACATATCAAAACTCCATGAAGATGAGGAAAAATTAAACTAAAAAAAAAATTCTGAGCTATTAATCTTTCCTGATAATGAAGTACTTCAGGATGACTTCTAAAACTCACTTTCATTTAGATGCTTCATTTATTTTAATCTGGGAGATAATTAGAAGGAAATCAAATCCATCTCCACAGCAGAATATTTACCTGAGATGCAGCTCAGACTTTTCAGTATTTCCCCTGTGTGTTCAAACTCTGTGTTACACATATTGCTAAAACTTTACTGAGATTAATGTCCATTACTTAATTAGCATCAAAACTTGAGTCTACAATCTTTGCTGATGTTAGAACAGGAATTCTTTCAGGGTTTTTTCTAACAATAGGCCAAATTTTACTGGAGAAGCTCCACACACCATCCCCAGTTCAACCTGGAAGCAGAGGGAGTAAATCTCAGCTGAAGGGTGGCCAGTTGTCACTCGAGTTCCTGCATATCCACAAAAAATTACCAGGGTATTGCCCTTTGCAGCAAGAAATAGGGCTGATTTATGGTGAAGACACAGAAATATTCATCAAGATGCTCTGTTAACCAGATTATCTGGAAAAAAAAGCTGTGTCACTGCTGAATTCTTGCTGTGAAGAGCCAATGGTTTATCTCATCCCCAACTAATCCTGTTATAAATTATTTAGCACTCCAAATGTATCAGAGAGGAATCCTCAGTTGAATGAGCCTTCCACACACACTGGCATCCTCCAGCAATTTATTTGTAATTATCATTTGCCTTTTTTTCCATATCTAATATGTAGTTAATGAATGCCTGACATAACTGCAGCAGAAAAAAAAGACACGACTAGTTACATAATTACAGGTTAAAAAATGATCTTTTTCAGCTCCATGCACTGAAGTAATCTTAAGGGTGGAGGTTAAGTACAGGCTATAAATTGCTTTGCAAAACGTTCTGTACACTGTCCACAGCAAAATCTATGTGTGGCACTGCCTTTGAAGGAAGAGTTTGATCTTATAATAATTTTACAATAATATTACAGAACTTGTAGGTAGTATCAGTCATGTCCTGTTCGTGGAACTCAGTCTACAAAAGGACAGCAAATCTGCACTTGAAATCGTTATAGAACGTGAATAACATATTTCATGGTCCCACTAAGTGCCAAGAGAAGAACAAAGTGGATATTCTAGTATGGAGGCAGGCCTGTGAGCAAGAATTTCTGGGGAAAAAATAATAAAAAAATCTCCCTTTCATGTCTTCAAGAAACTGCTTCAAATAAGGTGGTTTATCAAAAAAGAAGATATGATTTCTCTCAGCCTTATCCCACCACTGGCATTCCTGTGCAAGCTGCTTCAGGCAGCTCCTCTCATTTCTAGATCACAGATTTAACTATGTTTATTATCACAGATCAAGGAAGCAATTTCTAAATACAATATTAATACTTTTCGCTCCAATGGGGCAATTCATTCAGAGTAATTTGTGACTTTCAAGCAAATTAATAAACAAACTTACAGCTCGTGACTGTTTTGAATAAAAAAAAGAGGCCTCAAGTACAAATAAATAAATCTGACTTACTAAACTGTTTGCACCAGTTAAGGGTAAGATACTCCAGGGGAATTGATACATCCTGATTTCCTATCAGCTTGTGGAACTTTCCAGTTCCCTCAGCTAAAGCCTCAGCTCCTCCCAAACTTCCACCATTCCTGCAGGAAAGCAGCACGTGGGCAGTGCCAAGGTGGGAACTCAGTGTCCTGGATAAACTAATACAACTGGGAAAAAATATTTCACTGTTATACTTACTGCAAGGTACAGATGCAAACCCCACAGAAAATCAAACACACTTACTGGGCATCTTTCCTCTTTTTTTTCTGGGGGTCCACCAGGCGCAGAGTGTCTCTGATGACAGCAACTTTCACTTCTTCATCAACAGGGCTTGGGACGTTCTCAAACACTCCAGGAGAAAGCTTTACATCACAAAGGGATAACAATTATTCACTACAGAACTAAGGATTATTTGCTTACATTATTGCTCAAACTTCATGTCCATCATCTATATTTTAAATACGCAGTGATGGATTACAAAACACTTCTTCAAGGATACACAAACACTGTCAGGTTTTCAGGATGATGTTACAGCAAATTGGGGCAAATTTCTCTAGAAAATTGAAATATTAAAAAAAACATTGTTGCCAATGTTACTGTTTATATCATGTATACAAACATGAAAAAGACTATTACCAATCCCCTAAACACAATTAGCAACTGCAGGGGATGATGAATAAATGCATTTATGACAAAGATGATGGAGAGCTTTCACTATTCCAATAAGTCATATTTGCAGTGTATAAGATTAGCAATGATTTCAAAGCAGAAAATTACAGAGAACCTTGGAGGTTTCATATTAGCAGACAGCTTTCATCTTTCAAACATGGAAAAAAAGCCCAGAAAACCCAACCTAAGCAGTTTCATTCCAATATCACCATCACATTGAGAAATCTTACCTCTTGCTCATGTTCTATTCTCATGCTGGGGTTTGCATTTACTTCTAGTAACATGGGCTTCAAGTTTTTCATCAGGAGAATGTCAAACCCTAAAATCTGTGCATAACAAGCAATATGTTACTTCAGTTCTATTCCCAGCGTTCTCCTAGAGAATGCAATGGTCGTCCATATGGCAACACTGAGGAAGAAACATTTGAGGGGCAGGAGATAAACAACTAAGAAACTCTAAATACTGCTGAATAATTACAGAAGCCATTTGTCTTGGATACTAATGGCTCCTTTCACACCACCCCCATCCCTAAATACTGCATCTGCCAACACGGAATCTTGGCACCCGTGACAAGTGGATCTTCAAATTGCCACGATTACAGATGCATTAGGAAGCTGCAAATCTTCAATCCTAACATGCAGAAGATGGAAATTGGAGTGATTAATGTTAGTGGCAAATTACACCCACTGAAAATCCTCCATATATGTTTAGGGCTGATGGTAACACAGGTCAGGAGACTGAGGTTTGACTTGGGTGAGGAGAACATAAGCTCTGAGCTCCCACAATGCTGCCCAGTGTGTGCACACACAGACACCCAACCAGTGATCAGCAACACTGAGCACTGTTTCTTTCACTGATCACTGTTTCTTTCACTAAAGAAACATTTCGGAAAAGGCATTAAACATCCACAAAATTAATCCATGCACAGAAATGACTGCATTTCTGGCAGAAATTCCAACCTACCTGGAAGCAAGTTGGCCCAGGCTTTCCTGACGGGATGTCAGACTGATAGTAAACTTTCAGTTCTGGAGTCAGTGCAATAATAGTTTTAATCACCAGTGAAATTATATCTGACCAGAGCTTTTTGACATCAGCTCCTCTGGAAGACAGTCTGCACAGAATGCTTGAAAAAGTCCTCTTGCTGCCAGTGTTTACACTGTCAGAATGGATGAAATTCTCACTATGGATATTTAGTGAATAGTTGGTTAAGTGCATAAAAACCTGGTGCAAATTTTTTAAAGTGGGTTCTTGATAGGGCTCCGTACAAAACCTAGAAAGTCCATCTTTGGCTATATAAATCTCCAAGGGTTCTAAGGATTTCAGCAAGACATAAAGACGAATATCAAATTTCAGTTTGTCCACGAGCAGTGGTTTGCAAATATACTCCTGGACCACGGCTGGCCGGCTCTGGATGCTTCCCGTCAGCCTGATGTCACTCGGGTCCTTAATGAGGTAGATTCCATCCCCCTGGCAGCCTCCATCAGGCTTCACAATAAAAGTGGGCTTCCAGGACGGATCGCTGTCCTTCATCACCCGAACCTGGAAGGAAAAGTATTGCACTGAAAGGCACTGATTGAGGGGGGAAGAAGGGCTGACACTGTGAAAGCCAGTAAAAAAAAATAAATAGAAACAGCATGATCACACCCCCAGAGTAGTAAACACCATGCAAAAAGGGCAGAGATAAACAGTGCTGAGAAGCACAAGGAGAAACAAAAAAGCATGAGTAGGGAATTACTAGTACAGATAAAAAGTAATTTTATTTAACAAGTCATTGTATAGATGATTTCAAGAACTTCTCTTTATTGTTCTGTACCAATTTGCAGAAGGAAACGTGGTATATCTCAGGAGATCCACCTTAGTAGTATATGAAACTGCAAAGTTAAACTTTTGTGCTACATTTTGAACAATAACTGATGAAGATAATCATCAACACAAGGAAAGATGCCTTATTTATTCAGGTATGAATGCAAACAGTACCAGAAGAAGGAAAAATAAAGGAAAAATTTGGCACTGACAATATCTTTTTCCCCCACTGAGAATATTTTCCACAATTAGATGCCCAGTGTTAGTAAAACTGGGAATGTTGAGCCATGTACAGATATAACCAGGTCACTGACACACCTGCTGAGTATCAGATTTTTCTTGTTACATGCGTATTTCCCACTGCCTAAATAAACTTTAATTTATTACTTGTATAGCAAAAGTCAAAACTGCAGAGATGGAGATGCCTCAATTAGCAGAGGTGAAGTTGAGAAAGCAAGGGGAGCCCTAACAAAGAAAGCAGTTAAAGAAAACACAGGATGCAGGTTATGGGTTTATCAGCTTCTCGTGGGATTCAGAAGAATAAAGCACTTAAAACCTCGTCCTTTCAAGAGGGAGGGATGTCACAGCACAGATCATTCTTTTCTTGCATCCACACATTTCAGGGCACCAGACCTGCAGCTGCTACTCTCTCCCTCCAGCCAGGCACGTGCTGAACCGAGGCAGAGATCTGGTTTTGCCCTGCGGTTTGCCAGCAAAAACTGGAGATTGACTTTCAGAAGCCTGAGGACACAAAGCTAACAAAGAAAAAACAATCAGTTGCCACCATCAGGCCTGCAGAGTGAGAGGAAAAAATCAGCCCACAGAAAAAGGCTGAGCATGGTCAGATCATTGTGATTTTCTCTGCTGTGACATTAAGCCGCCAACCCCCATGAGAGGCCCAGCTCTGCCAGCAGTGACATTCCCAAGGTCTGAAGGACTTCTGGCTCCACCTTATCCAGTTATTTATTTCATTGAGAGTCACACTCCTGCAGGAGGAACTCAAGATCCATTATCCAGACTAGGATTTTTCTCGTGGACAGGTGTCACACTGACTCAGTGAAAGATCCTTCTCCAAAATAGGTCACTTTGAGGGATAAAATGCCTCAGTTGGAGGTCAGGCTTACATAAATGGCACATGGATAAATAAGTCCAAGTAGATCAGCAGGCCTAGATGTGCAAAGAAGGAAAGCAGGATTTATGCCCTAGTCTTTTTACCACTATAGAATAATCTTCCCCTGATGTGACATTACTCTGCAGAGCAGAGGAGTTCTCTGGTTCATCGTTGTTAAACTCAGCATCGCAGAGACAGATCTGGTTAATCTGAACCCTCCATGACCAAACATACCCTGATATGACTCTAGTTGGATGTGTGAAGGGCCAATCGTGGTCTAGTAGGGCAGAAAGTTACACAGAACCTTTATGAAACCAGGTGGAACAATCTGCCTCCCAGGCCCACATCTGCTGTTCACCCCTCAGGCTACTCCTGCTCCGCTCCAGCAGCACCTTTCCAAAGGAGATGATGCTTTCCAGGGACTATTGCTAAAGATGCAACAGCAACCTGCTTTTCAAAACCACTGCATTGTAACAGCCACTGGTCTCAGAGATCTCATGCTTAACTCTACTCCTAAAATGAAAAACAAATAATTTTCTCCATCTCTTTCTAGTTCATTTTTGATGCACTAGACGGCCTGGACAATATTGAGGCTTTCTTGTCCATCAAAACCTACATGTGGCAGATGAAGATAGGCTGGTGTGGAAAGGGGGAATAGTAATCCAGAGTCAGTCTTGAAGAAAACAGATGGTTTCTTGATCTTCAAGGAAATTCCCAAGTCGTCTTCAAATTCTCCACAATCCCCTCAACTACATTCTTTCAAATTCTCATTATGAGGAGGCTTGTCTAGACTTAGAAACTTCACTCATGTAGGAAAATTAGTTCATACGAAATGAGATATTTCTGTGTCCTTTGCTTGACAGAAGGAAATTATCTTTAAAAAACATATTAACCATTTGCAGTCAACAGCAAGAGGAGAGTTTGGGGAAAATCTGTGGGTTTGCCTTTCATAAGGAAACACAGGCTGAATGAATATAGTGTTCTGGGAAAAATGCATATAATGGGCTATAAGATTTGACAGCACAAAGACCAGAATATTCATGTCTATGCCTAAGAGGTATCCAAAAGCTGAAAACCTAATTAAACCACCAAAAATAAGCTGAAATTAGACTGTCCAAATTAGATTCTTATTAAAAATTAATCATACTGGTCTATTCATCATCCTCACAGACAACACAAAGAAGGAAGTACGAGAACAATCAAGGTCCTGGTTTGAATCCCAAGTTAGTTACTTTTCAGAAACTCGAACTCAGGGTTTATTAGAAGCAAGTTCTTAGCACACACGTTTCAATAGATTCTTCTCTGCTAGTGAAGGAGCAACTACTGCAGCACCTGAGATTTGCTTATCTGTAATTCATCTTCTGTTAAAGTGACATGTCAGTAGAAAATGTTTTATAAAGTTAAAAATTGGTGAATATTGAAAATAGCTAAATACATATTTACTTAGTAAAATGAACTTTTAAGCCCTTGTTGAAAATACCCATCATCATTTCAATACAAATGATGGGAAGGGAACTCCCTTTTTGCTGGTATTTCCAATCTGAAGCTCACCCACCACAAACTCAAGAGTGCAGTTTTCTCACCAACTACTGGCTTTCACAGCACAGAAGATTAATATTGCCTGTAGTGTTTTCTACCTGAATCTAGGCATAGGGGAAAGTGGGAAAAGCTGAAAACATTTGATTTCATTATTGATACCTGTGTATGAAAAAGTTCACAATCATGACTACCAAAGTGAGGCACAATAAGAATATTTGAGAGAGAAATCATTTTGAAATGTTGCAGTACATCTGGGGAGGGAGCAACACTTAAATTCTCAAGGAGTTTCTTCTTTCAATAATCATTTCTATTACAGGCAAAATCTCACAGGTGTTCATTTTCACTCCAGCCCTTTGCAACAAAATCCTACATTACAAACAGCACCAAACCATCTTTTCGTGTGTGACCTACAGCTACACTGACACATGATTTGTGACCTTTGATAATTCATATTCCAGTGTATTCCAGCTCCTCCAGGGACACGTCTAACGTGCAGACACCACCAGTGCTGAACTCCTCTCGCCTGTGAACAAGCTGAAGTGCAGTCTCGGAGAGCTGACGTTTTTGGCAGCATTAGGGTCCCTCAGTTGCAAAGCAAACACCACCACATATGAACAAATAAGCAACAGAAAAGACTGGAGAACTCCTACTGAGAACTCGCAAAACTGCAAGTGAAAAGTGTTCTGAACCTTTTATGGTTCACAGTGGGTTTGGAACGTTTGGGTTTGTATTTTAACTTGTTCTGGAGGGGTTACACTCCGAACTCGCGTTAAGTAGAACATAAACTCTTACAACATAAAATATAATGTTTGATAACAAGAACTATGCTTTTCTCCAACACAGATGGAAGAACATATGCAAAGGAAACTCCTAGGAGTGTGTTACTGGACATCTGTTACTCTTGGAAGAAAACCCGGCTCGTTTTCCCGGCAGTGAGTGCTGGAGCAGAGCAGTGTTTATTCGCAGTGCCACCTGCTGCCAGCGCACGGGGCTGAGCGTGGCGCCCGCAGCTCAGCCCTCCTGGCCCAGCCCGGGTCAGCAGTGCCTTGCACCTCCCAAAAAACTCCCCAGCACACCCCCACTGCACCCTTCTCAAAGTTTACTTCCAAATTATTTGCACTGGTTGACCCGTCGTGGCTAAACTTGGTCCTACAGTTTGTACAGCAGTAAGGCTGAAGTGCTGTCGGGATTGTGTTCATTTTTACTGTTCCTAGCAGTGACCCAGAATGCTTGAGGAGTGTGTTAAAAAGAATAAAAACAATAAATATCATTTTAAAAAAAATAATTAAAAACAAAAATAATAAAAATATGTTAATGAATTCAATTGGATGGTGGACATGGTAATTATCTAAAAGGTAACACAGAGTACAGGAGTCTGTTAAAGCCCAGACCTTTTTCTCCTCACCTTTCCAAGCAAAGCACACTGTGAGATGCAAGGCACTGGGTGAGTCAGACAGGGGTTAAACAAACACACACAAGATTTTAAAAATATTTGTAATAACAGAACAAAACACCAACACACAGCATCGCTTTTTTTTTTCCTCCAAAAAGCTGAAAAAGAATGGTATTTAATTACATTCTGAATAGTTAAATACAGCAACAGTCTGACAGGAGAAGATGTGAGTGTATTTAACAAGGCACAGTACAAAATGCTCTTCTGAAGGATTTTGATACAACAGGCCAAATGGACTAAAAAGACTCCAGTGCCAAAGAAGCTGGTGAAGCACCACACTCCCCACGCTGCTCTGGAACCCTCTCAGGCCAGTAGAACGTGCAGGGAAAGGGCTTATGGCTCTACCAGGTTCAACTTTCAGACCTCTTTTCTGGAATGGCAGAGAAGCAGAACTGTTTTGAAGTTTATTCCAGAACATAACAAACAAAAGCAGTTCGTCCAGACTACGACTGATCCCAGACAAACTGGAAAAGATGTCATTCACAGCCCCTTAGTGTGATTTTAAATAACTCAGTAGAAGACTAAAGAATTACATGGACACAACATTCAACAAGTTGTACTATTCTGAGAGTAAAAGTAATCTACCTCAGCCACAAAGAGGGGAAGTTCTTCTGGCAGAATCCAGGACCGAGGGTAGAAGTTATACTCAAGAGGAAACAGGTCCTGCATTGTTCTCATGGCCCGACTCAGGGTGATTTTCCGTACTGTCTCCATCATGCCTGGGAAAAGAACAGTGTCTAGAAGTGACAAAAAATCCACTCTCAAGTCTCATCCTAGAAGTAAATGGCTAATCATTACCCACCCTGCTGGGACCCTCCGGTCACTGCTGCCAATAAAGCTGAACACCTTTTAAAAAATTTAAAATCTGACAAAATAGTTGTAGCGTTCCCCTGCCACATTTCCCATCGTATGTGTTACTGTAGCATAGTAGAAAAAAATTATTTACCAAAAATACAGCTCAAAGACAGAAAACTTCACTCAAATATTAACTGTTGTCTTTGCCATAATCCAAAATTATTTTTATTGCCTCTTGTTCCAGGAATGTGTAAAAATGCCATTTGAATATAATCAACCACTTTGTGTTTACTTTGCAGTCATTTAAGTAACTGCATCACAAAGAACGGGTTATTTTGTGAACAGCAAAACAAACTCACATATATATTTTTAATTATTATTTATTTAAATTTATTGAAATCCTGTATCCATTGGGAACATGACTAAGGTGTTATTTTTATGGAAAAGTTTCTAGTAAAACCCAGCATCAAGTTAGCACAACAGTCCTGGAAACCAGGTCTGGTTCTGAAGGGCTCTGGTTTGACTCCTGTGCAGCCACTTGTTAAGCAGGTAGAAGCCAGAATACAGAGAGGTAACATTCATCTAACACTGACTGAAACCACCACAAAACAACAGCATCCTACACCTGAGTGGGAACTTCCCTGAGGCAGGAGAAAGCCAAGGTAAAATAAAGCCTGGAGTTCGATATCTGAGGTTCTTATGCTCACAGCATACTAACAGCAGCAATAAATCTGAAGTAAAGGGCTTAGATAAGTCAATACTTAAGCTCTTAGCTCTTATTTAGAGAGATCTCAACAGGGATTAAATGGGAAAAAAAGGAGCTTAAAAAAGTAGAAGAGTCATCATAAGATGAGGACTGACATGAACTCTTCAATATTAAAAAATCCATTTAAGGAATTCTGCTTCGAGCTTCTCCCCAAGATAAAACAGAGTAGGAAACAAAACAGATTCTTTCCACTTTGAATCAAAACCAAATCCAAAGATACAGCACTGTTATCAGCACTAGATAACAGACAGTAATTGCACATTTCACTTAAATTATAGCCTGACACTCCAATATTTCCTAAATTCACGTGTTTGAAGTATTCTTCTCATCAAAACCACTTTCTCTCCAAAACAAATTTCAGTTCAGAAACTGTTCAAGAGACCCATTCTCATATCCTTACCCCCTAAGCAGAAATCACCTACCAAGCCCAGTAACATGCTAAAAATACTATCAGCTGATTAAGCAGATAATTCTCATTAAAAACAGTAAAACACAGATATAGGTCAAATATTCATGTTTTTAAAGCATTTGTTTAAACCAGAAACAGAAGTCAAGTACCTGGAAACTTGTTGACTTGACCTGAGAAGATATTATTGTCATGAAACGACACCCCATGCCAATAGATATCGCAGGGCAAGCGGCGGCCAAAAGGAAACTGGAAGACAAGAGACAAGTTTTGAAGCAAGATGGGAATACCCATTCGTTCCTTTCTTTTCTAAACACTCACAGTGAGCATAAACCACTCAAGAATAGTCTTCTGAGTGTCAAAAGAAAACAAGCTCTGTATTTGGGTTACAAAACTAAGAATATTTGGATCAGGTCGAGGCTCTTAAGTTAACAAACCAGGAGAGGTTTTTAGAAACCAAACCCAAATGACTGAGAGGCATGAGCTGTACTGGGAAACCCCACCTGATGAACCACATCCAAGGCATGGCTCATTTGTAATTTAAAATACTATTACAGGGAATAAAATTCCACTAAGAAGGACTTAATTCTGGCACCTGAAGGCACAGCAATAGCAAGTGCCACAGCTGGGAAGCAAACACTGACTTTGGGGTTGGGGTTTTTTGGGGGTTGGATTTTTTTCCTTCCCAGTTTAAGGGATGACAAGCAACCACCAAGGGACACAAGCACTAGAGGCCATGGAGGAGTTGTCACTGCTGGCAGTTACTGAATCAGCTCCTACTCTTACAACACTCACCATTTAATGCCTAGTCCGTGCTCCCCTCTCCACATCCCTTTCCCAGACTGCACCCACAGGCCCTTCACCCCCAACCACGTGGCATCTCCACGAGCTCCCAGCCTCACATGAGCACAAAACAGTTCTGTTCTTTAGTACTTTATTTCAGGGAACACCTATAGGGAGGAATATTGCTCTAAATTTACAGTAAGTTAAAACTGCAAAGCACTTTCTGAGCAAGCCCATTTACATTGGTGTCCAAGCTGCAATAAATGTAAAATGGATACTCAAAGCAAGATATTTAAGTGAAATAATTGCATTATTCATTTATGTATATTCAGTTATAAGTATTAATTTATACTGTATTAATTCCTTTCTGGTACTAATAGCCTGTAATTAAAATAAAAGCTTGCAGTTGCATTAATCATTTGTTGAGCATATATATTTCAACTATTAAGAACTAAGGCAATTATTTCAACACTATTAAGTGTTCCAGTTTCTTTTCCCATTCACACAAGATTTCATTGGAAATTGGAAAACTGTATAGTTTGTTTTCTATTATCAAAAAGACCAACCTTTTTCTAAGCAGTCTAAAGAGCTCAGAAGCAGCACTGCCAATTACTGAGAGCAAGTTTCTAATAGTAGTAAAGTGGTTTAAAAAACCCCAATTAGTTTTGTGTAAAGAAGGTTCTCTTCTTTTTCACGCTTGTTCTCTCAGACACAGTCCCATTTATCAATCCAAAAAAATCCCTTTTTATCTGCAGCTCCATGTAGATGCCATTTAACTACCATATGGGATATATTCACAGGAATCACTTCTATGACTAGGCTATATCTTTTTCAAATAAATAAGCTATATTTAGCATTTTTAGGGTACATTTGCATTAAATATCTACCACTCTCATCCCCCAGTACCATTTACTCTTTGAAAGAACCACAGTATTTTGCAGAAACGTCTTGTTCCTTACTCCAAATGCAATTTTTCTTGCTTTAAAACATTTCTTTAAGCACTGGATTTTTTTTTTCCAGTATGACAGAAAAAAAGAAACTCATAAAGCTTTTGAGTGCATTACTTTATTTGCTACTTTAATTAAAATTTCAGCTTCCTCTGTAAATAGCCTTCAAAAATTAATTTAAAATGCTAATTGAGGAATGCATCCTTTCTCTGTTTCCTTACTTGCAGGGATGAGAAACCCAATTTAACAGAGCCAGTGGATTCTGCACTTATTTCATTATTATTCAGCCTGCAAAATCTGTTTTTGTACAAGTGAAAATTAATTCTGTTGGGCTCTGAAAGACAATCAGTGGCCTTAACCTCTCCCCACAGGTACATCCAGAATACAGATGCAGCCTTCGGTCTCAGAGCACCCTTCCCACTAAAACCCGAACAATATATTTATTTATTAAATGAAATTGAAATGAAAGGAACGAAATTTGCATTTATATAACACCTTTCATCTAAGGAGGATATCAAAGCACTCTACAAACACTGCACAGAAATCATTTCAGAGCAGATGAGGAGGGAGCAGCTCTGGACAGGAACGTGGCAGTGCTGCAGCCCCACGTCAGCAACTCAGCATGGCAACGTCCTGAGGAACCAAGATTATCTGGATTTATCCAACAATGGCATCAAACTCCTCTGAACGAGCTGGGGAGGATTCTGCCTATTCTGCACTACACTATTACATAAGAGCAGTGTTTGGAGAGGAGCCAACAAGTTCGATTCTTTGGTGCCTCTGGCAGTGACAGGCAGATGTAAATTAATGTTACTGTGGTAGAAGAGGAGTTTTCACTACATTTCCAGCTCCTGGTGCAGGCACCGGCTAAAAAGAAAGATGGATATAAAACCTCCTATCTTCACCTCCCCTGTGGCAGCTGGAATAGCCTCACTATCCTGTGCCAAAGCCAAGATGGTCCCACCCACAGGGGGACAGAGGTTGTAAAGGTGACTGGAGCCATTCTTTTTTAAAATCTTTTTTTATTCACATTTGGAGAATATTTGTCAGAACAAACCAAACAAGAAGTCATAAAGAGAATGGCACTGTTTCCACAACTTTGACACCATTAACAATCCATCATAGTCAAATCTGCGAGGCAGGTCACTTCTACCTTTGGATTAGAAGCCAATAATTTAAACTGTCTCACGGGTCACATCAGCCTGTTCCATCATGTTTAATGACAAGTTAAATGACTTGTCTTCCAGTCAGCCTTTCCCAGCATAAAATTTCCAGCCATCCCTTTGCCTCCACGCAGCCCCGGAACAGCGAGACACAAGGAACGCTCAACGCTGGGATATGTGATGCCTGAGACATCTGCTTCTTCCATTTTCCTGGTAATTGAAAGCTTGCTGAAAAAATAATTTATTAAGTGATGAATAAACTCGAGATGCAAGCTCAATTTGTGCCCATTATTTCATTTGGCATATCATGTTCATTTAAAGAATCTGTCACGCCGGATCAGATGGTCCGATGTAGTGATGGGAATTGCTCCACTGACACATGGAAATTCTGCAATGTTTTTTAAAAGGTCCACCCCAGACAGGCCTATCACAGTTGATAATTTAATTCACTCCAAATTCCCACAGCTGAAAGAAGAAAATTGGGGTTTTTTCCTGTCTTTTGCTTCTGGTAGCAGAATCTCAATGGTCGACTTGCTCTGTCTTGGACTCCTTCGCCCCTTCCTCATGTATCAGTGCCACAGAATAAACTATCACCAATATCAGCCATGTTCAGAGTATTCTTAATTTTTCTGTGTCTTATTATGGCATTTACCATATGTCAGTTCACTAATGAACTACTACCATGTGGCCAATTCTGTAATCACACGGTGCATTTGTGTCTTACTTCTGCAAATGGAGCACATTGCAGGGAACAGACTGTGACTGAAACCAAGCTCTTCCAGCAAGTCATGGAAACTACAGCACAGAGGTTTTGGAATGCACAACTTAAAACAAAACAACAAAAAAAAACTAAAAAAAAGGATACATGACACCATAAAATGCTGTACATTAGAGAGAAAAAGTTATGAATGAAAAGGGGCCCACTTTAAAAAGGACATTATACTGTCTCCTGCCCAATAAAATATTCCAGCCAACACATCCAGCAGCAAAGAGAGGAAACAGAAACAAAACAGAACCAGCAATGGGAAAAAATGTAAGAGAAGTGGAAAAGGAGAAGAAGAGTCACTTGAAAAGTATTATACAAGGGATGACAGCAGAATAGCAGCCACTGAAACATCAGTATTTAAAATCTCTGCATTTCATTACTGCTTCCAAGACTTTTTTTGCATATCTGTATGGATCCTACAAGCAACATCCGTGTTCCCTCTGCTGGTCCTGCTGTAACAGTGCAACCAGCTCCGAGGCTCTGCCCGTCGGTGACAGTGGTTTGAACAAATATTTTACTGCTATTTCTCTAAACATCTGAAAGGGACAGTTTTCAAAATTACATGCAGCTTGAATAAAGTTTTCCTTGGACTTCTCTTCTTAATTTTGTTTATTTTTCTCTTCAGATCCAGACCAGATCTTGCTGACTGACTGCCTGTGTCTACTAAGTCTGCCAGCTGGGAGGCAGGAGTTTGTCTTGCTCCCATCCTAGAAGAATTTCACCTTTGTGTTTTCCACAAAGTAACCAGCACTAGTTCAGAGTCAGAGCTAATACTGGTTCATTCCTCTTTCCACCTTCAGGATGGGGTGGGAAAAAAGGCAGGGGAAACATGATTTGACACATATTTTCTTGTATCAATGTATACTTTTTTGACAAAAGGAAACATCACATTCGTATTATTAACCTATTTGTAAGCTGCAATATACAGGAAGACCTGAGAGTGACTTGTCTTAAGGAATGAGTTATCAGCCACCCAGATGGTGCAGTCAAGCACCACAAAATTCCATATTAGGCCTCTTCTTTATTAAGATACAAAGTGGCCAGAAGAGGAAGCAACAGACTAAATGAAAAATATTGACTGAAGAAGGAGATGGAGGAGAAAGGATATTGAGTGAGACAGAAAACAGAGAGATGAAGCAAAGGCAGCAGCGATTGCTGTTGGGGGATGCAGAGCAGGAAGGAAAAAGCTGATTATTGCAATGCAGAGATTCATGAGAGGAACAAGAGCCTGTAAAACAAGTCAATTAGTAGGACAGAAGGCCAAGTGCAAGACATATGCAAAACAGTGAAGTCTCTGGAAGCTATAAAGACCAAATTACCACTAAGTGTGGCTCGTTCCCAGCACAGTCTGCAGGACTAACTGATACCAGTGATCCAGAAACACTCACTGGAACAGCTCTGGGCCCCCTGAACATAAAACTTAACCATAAAAACAAAGAAATTAAGTGTGAAGTCCCCCTGCTCTGTATGTTCCTGCACAGGACACAGAGCAAGGCTGCTGACAGACACTCCACAGGTGCACTGGGGGCTAAGAGAGGTAAATGTAACAGGTTTTAATTTCAAGGCTCTGGTGTGTTTGTTACTATTTTGCTGTACAAGCAGAAGTTGAGAACTGGGGCGTTCCTGCAATGAGGTTTTGAAATTCTCCCACTGGATTTAAATAACAAAAATCTTGAAACAAAGTTTTAACAAGTCAAAGAAGGAGAAAGCATTACACTCCCTGGCACGGAGCATACGTGTCTTTGTGGAATTAGGTATTTGGGACATTATGAATAAACTCAGTAACATTTACTGCCACTGAATTCTCCAGAAAATACATGTGTAGCATCTAACTCTGAGGTTAGGAACAACACAGAACATACTGTCTGCTCCAAGTCTGTATAAACCTTGTTTAAAATGCACCAGGTGCACAGAAGTGTCATTATCTCGTGAGTGGGATCCCAAATGCAGCTTTGTGGAGCAGGTGCAGGTCAGAGATCACACAGCTCTGTGCAAGCTCTGCACGCGAGAAACAGATCATCCTCAGGTTTTATCCTGCCCTTCCCCTCCAACTTCCCCCTTCCAAATGGATTACAAATACCCTTTTTCTTACACAACTTCCTCACAAAGTTCCTAGAAGCCATCTCAGCTCCTAAAAAGCCATTTGTAAAGCTATCGGTGAAAGAAAATCTTTAGAGTTTGAGAACAGTTTACCACCTATAGTAAGATATATCTAAAAAATCTCTTGAGGAGTTAAACAAGGAGTTCCAAAGCATCTGTTTTGTGCCATACCTATTGCTATGACTCCAGTTCAGCACAGGCAGACACTGCTCATGCAGCACAGAGAAAACACGACTCAAGCAGCAGGATTAAAAAATAGCCATAGCTCCTCTACATAAAGTAAATTAGCAGGCTAAAGCCTGTTATGTGTGCCTCATTCGGTGGCTTAGCACTATTTCATTCATACACCACGCTCTCCGACACGCCTTTGAGCTGATGGCAGCGGCTTTGCCGCGGGATCAGGCAGCGGATCTGCCGGCTCAGAGCTCCTGCCGCTGCCACGAGCGGGATTCCACGTACCCAAACCCCCAGGGGAGGGTGGCAGGGAGAAATGCGAACATGCACAACACGCCAAACATTTCCACGTTAGGAGCAGGTTTCTTTCTTGCCCTTTCCGTCAGCGCAATATCTGACTGCCCCCGTGCTGCCCCGTGTACCCGGCGATGGCAGGTCGCGACCGTGAATCGAACCAGCTCCGGGCGTGACATGTGGTGAGAAATCACGCCAGGGTCGGGGTGGCCCAGCCAGGACGCCCCCCCGGTTCAGCAGCTCAGCGCTGCTCAGGGAGGCAGGCGAGGAGGAGGAGGAGGGAGGAAGGCTTTGCCGGGGCAGACCCCGAGGGGAGGCAGGGGAGTCTCCCCAGCAGCGCCGCCAGGCCGGGCCGGAGCAGGGGCAGGAGGGGGAGCCCCCCGAGGGCCGGTCCCGCCGCGGGGCGCTCACCTCCTTCCAGCGGAGCTGCCGCAGGCTGATCTTCAGCGCCTCCAGCGAGGTCTTGGCCTTGGAACTGTCCACCGTGACCCCGGGCCGCCGGCCGCCCTCGTCCCCGCCGCGCCGGCCCGGGGCCCGCCGGGCCCTGCCCCGCGCCGCCCGCCCGCCCGGGCCCTGCCCCGCGCCGGCCCCGCGCCGGCCCCGCTCCCTCTCCCGCCCGCTCGCGCCGGGCAGCGCCCCTTCCCCCGGGGCCGCAGCGCCGGGCGGCCCGGCCTGCCGGGACTCGGCGGGCAGGGCCGGCGACCCCGGGGGCTCCTCCGCCTCCCGGGCTGGCTCCGTCCCAGCCGGCTCCATCCCCGCCGTCCCCATCCCCGCCCGTTCCACCCCCATGCCCGCTGTCCCCATCCCCGCCGGCTCCGGCTCCATCCCCGCTGGTTCCATGCCCATCCCCGCCGGCTCCATCCCGGCCGGCTCCATCCCGCCCCCGCTCCCCGCCCGTTGCCATGGCAGCGGCGCGGCCCGTGACCCGCTCGCCCCGCCCCCCGCCGCCGTGACGCGCTGACGCCGCCTCCGCCATTTTGGAAAGGGGCAGGGCCGCCCGCCGCTCCCGGGGAGGCCATTTCGAAGGGCGCGGGGCGGGGCCGCCATGTTGGAAGCGGGCGGATCTCCTCCCTCACGGCGGCTCCGCCTCAGGGGGGGCTGTGGGTGCGGCCTCCTGTGGCCACAGTGTCGTTCACCACCGAAACCCTTTCCCGAGGGGCTCAGACACAGAATCCGCTCCTTACCGTGTGGTGGAGCGACTGTCATGTGAGGCGGGGGTCCCGCCGCCGTTACAAAGTGCTGCCTTCTCACAAAGGGTGTTCCCACGCTCTATTCGGGTTCAGCTCAATCAGTGCTGCTACAGTCCCTCATCTCCGGATTTTAAACGCTCTTACACTGCCTGACTCAAACGCACTGCAAGAAAGTACGGAAACAGCTTTTACACTGTTAATAATGGAATTAATAACCTTAACAGCAGCTCTGTGATCAACCTGAGCAAGCTGGAAGGTTGTCCGTGCCCACGGCAGGGGTTGGAACTATATCGTCTATTTTAAGTCCCTTCCCACCATTCCAGGATTCTGTGATTCTATGATATAGGAATCCCTCACGATATAGTTGGAATGAAATTGAGAACGTCTCAAAAGGGAGCAAAAGCAGATTTGGGGAGTTAAGGCAGCGCAGGGCAGTGGGCAGGCGGTGGCGCTGCGCCCTGGGAAATCCAGCCTGGATGCAGGGAATTCCGAGACTTTGGGGGGAAAAAGGCAGGAATGATCAGGGTTCTGTGTGAAGGAGCGGTCACTAAGAGTCTTGCCCTATATCAAGGCAGCAAAGAACCCATTTAAATGAGGGTAAAATTTAAATAAATGCTGCAAAAGCTGGGACTTCAGTTGGCCGCAAGTTAAAATAAAAAGGTCTTGTCAAGACCACGCTCCTGACTGTGGAACTCCCTAGGCCAGGAGATATCAATGTATCTTTTATCTGCTAAATCAGGTTTTAAGAATAGCTGGATTAATCTCGCATTCTCACCTCACACACCCGGGTGTTTTACAGACACAACACGCCAGTAACGGTGGTTCCGCACGTGTGGACCCTTTTCCAGAAGTCAGCTGTAGTTTATAAAGAAGAAAATTTAATTACCAAGACACTGTCTTATTTCAACAGCAAACTAGAGCTTCACCTGCAACACTCACGATATAGCTATGGGGCAATGAAATTGAGAACATGTTAAAAGTTTTTTACACCCATATTTTTTCAGTGCCTGACCTGTCTTCTGCCATTTACCCTTGCAGGCAACAAAGAAACTAATTAATTAATTAACTAGAGTTACAATGTGAAGTGACCAGGAAGGCTCAGGCGATGTAGCTCGTTCTTGGTTCCTCCCAGGTTGCTATTAAATGATGTGCATTATTTTTTTTTATAGCTGTGACAGTTTTTAATTAAAAACTTGGGAGCGTTTCCATGTGCCAGCAGGAGCTCAGAGGGACCAGTAACGTTGGCAGGACGAGCTGTCTGGGTGGTGTCTTTTCTGTGTTCATCACTCAAAGCACATCCTTGGCCTCACCAATCACCACCAGATCACAGAATCACAAAGTGGTTTGGGTTGGGAAGGACATTAAAGACCATCCAGTTCCAAACCTCTCCCATGGGTAGGAACAAATTATGAAGAAAAAGGAATGTTTTGCTTATGTTTAACATAGGCACAAAAAGTTCAGTTGTAAGAAAAGCAATTCAAAGATGTTGGAGTGTGATTTAAAATGGTGACCTGACTCTGACTGTCTCCCATTTTACTACCAGGCTCCCAGATGAACATTTTTTAACACACAGATTTATCCTCACCAACGTCAGCAGTGCTGAAGGAAAGCCAGAGAAAGAGTTAAGATGGGCCAAGGCTTTGGAGCATGGGAAATACCAAACAAAATGATTGCAAAGGGGAAATATTTTTATATCTAGTTATGATATATCCACATTTCTTACAGGCTAATAACGGACTAGTTGTTTCTCTGCCCGAGAAGCTGTAATAAATCAGATACCTGCTTTACCCTGGACTGTGTGGAGAAAACCTTCATTTCCTGTTGAGATAAATAGAGATGGGCTGCAGTGTGCAGCGTGGGGTCAGGCTGTACGTGGCATTCAGGTACTGCAGGGTGGAGAGTAAAGTATAGGTTGGGTGGTAATGAGGTACAAGGTAATGCAGGAGAGTGTATCCTGCTGGATACTGCAAGCTGGATCTAGCAGCTGGAGAGAAATAGAAAACTTCAGATCATCTGTCCCCTGTGAGGAGAGGGGAAGATTAAAGTTATGGTGTGCTGTTAAACACAAGCTTGTTTCCTGAGACCCTTGCTCAGAGGGAGTTGTTGATAAGAACAAACTGGTACTGTCTCATGATAATAAGTGAACAAGAATGTGCATTCCATCCAGGAGAATTGTAATGTCCTGTACTCTCATTAAATTCAGGATGTCAAATACAACAGAGGTCTAATTTTATAGGAATGGGGAAGGATACTGCCTGATTGTACAGTATTTTACTCATCTCTCAATAACAGCTTCACCCTCATTTACCCTAAATCGTCACTTACTGGGTCATTATACCGTGACATGGCTAACCTGATGTTTGTGTGCACAGGTAACTGCCAGGTCCAAGCTGGAATCTGGGCACAAAGCAGTTTTACAGATGCAGTAAGTGTGAGTTTCCCATCATGACACTGTGCTGATCCCAGCAGCTCATACTGAGGGTGAACTGTGCTGCCAACCCGTGGTATATGGAATTCATGAGTTGGGCATGTGAACACATCAAGCTTATGAGGTTAAGTAACATTTTTCTTTAATATTAAATTTGCATTCTTCTAGTAAGCTTCTGTGTTTCTGAGTTGGGATCAAAATGTCTAGCTTTCCCCTAGTATCGTAAGGACAGTAACTGCACTCTTTTCTACATTTTTCTTTTCTTTCTAGCCAAGACAAGAAAAACCAAGTAACATGTAATTTACAAAAAGAACAAACCATCTTTTTAAAATATTATATAAAACTGGCCCCCTGCCAGAGGCAAATTTGCAGAAATACTTTAGTGTACTGTTCTGAAAAAGAACACATTCCTCAAGCTATTATTAAAAAATAGTTACTCATGAAGAACTATCCATCTGTGTCTGAAGTTAGTAGCTCTTTTTGCAACAATGCAACTTCTGTCAGTTGTACTTTTTCACAAATCAATAAGAAAGCAAAATGAAAAATCAGAAGAAAATAAATCTATAAACCAGCTCCTCCTGGAAAATGTCCGTGGTGGAGTTATGCTTCAGCCTGGGTTTAAATCCATATACATCACCCCTGCTGCCCATGTTTATGTTAGACCACGGAAGATTTGTGGTTGACCTACATATGCAAACAAAACATTTGCCGCATATTTGGGGTGGGGGGGATTTGCATGATAGAAGATGACGAAAATATGCATAATTGTAGGTGACATTTCTCATTCCCCAGTCCTGCTGCACAGCCCTTTGGAGCTGGCCATGCATGAAAGGCTGCAGTCCTGAGACATTAAGCTTCTGTTTGTTCTTGAGCAACACAAATCTGGTATAATCATCTCACCAAGCAGCCCCTCTGCTCGCAGAGGGCACGGACAACGCTGAGGGGGCTGAAACCACGAGTTCCACATGTCACTGCTGAGCTCACGTCACGTGATGGCTTCAGAGACTCAAGTAAAGATTTTGTTAGTGAGTTTTGGTCTTCCTCAAATCCCCAGTGCAGAGGGTAACAACACACAATTTCAGTCAACAGTAGCTAATTTATCTATTCTTGCCTTCACATTTCATCCCACAGCAGCATTTCTAGGAAGTCTGCTGGCGGGTTAGTACACCAGAGACTTTGCTCTAAAAATTGCACCAGCACAAGTAAGTATTAATAATGTTGATGAAGTTGCATGACAAACCCAGATCTCCTAGGATGGTAAAGCATGCACAGATCTCTCAGCTCTCACAAGGATGATATGGAAGTGCTTTCCTGTAACAGAGGTTTTGTCTGCCATTACTGGATGTCTGTCTGGTTGTTCTTGCTATGTCACATCTTATTTATCATTTAAAATCTTTGCAGCGCTGCTGTGCAGAAATAAGCGCTTAAAATGGTTAGAAGAAGGGAGGAAAATTCCTTGGCATCAAGACCAGGTCTCCTTTGGAAAGCTGAAAGCATACAGTGGATCTGCAGCAACTTTATCTGAGTTGTGAAGGTGGGTTTGGAAAAATATGACATGATCTGACAGGAACAACAGCTCCCTTCCCTGTAAATCACCTGAGCAACTGATAAAGAACACTCTGCAGGACCACACTTGAGGTCTCTTCAAAAAACGAAGAAGAGGGATTTACATGCAGAGTAAATGGCAGTGCAGGCAGAAGTGTGCACCCATGTGAGAGAAAGAGGAGGAAAGAAATCTTGGTAGCTGGTGCCTGAGAAAGAAAGCTGATCCAAACCTGTTCCCTGCAAAAACACTTGCAGCTCTGAGCCAAGAAGCTGTCTTGGTGCTTCACTCCTACTGTGTTCAGAGAAATGGGACTTTCTGTGAGTGCTTTGCACATCAAAGGAATAACTCCTCAGTACCTCCATGTGATGCAAACACCCACCATGGGGTTTGGCCAACTGCTCGGTCAAGAAGGGGTAATGCTACTCAGGGTTTGTTTATACTAAATCCGTGACGATGTCCTGTGTAACTGTTTCATTCCACATACTTGCCAGTTTTATTGTCCAGAAGAAAAGGCGTACAGATTTCTTACTTCCAATGGAGTCAAAGAATTTTCTTTGACCAACAAATTAAAAAGTTAACAGCTTTTTAAGTCTAGCAACCTTCA